AAAACTGATGGTTTTTTTATAAACATATGATCTCTAATTTTATCAAATAAAGTTTAACTGCTAAATTATAAAAGAAACTTTGTTTTCATAAGAGTTTACAGAATTTAAATGATTTAGCAAGATTCTAGCGATTTTTGTTTATTAATCTGGCGGGACGGCAGAAACAGCAATGGCAACACTGGTGGTGAGTACCGACTTGCTTGCGCGCATATTAGCTGTTTTGTAATTCACTTTTGCATTGCCAGCGTTCAGTATTGATAGAACTTTTTAGAAAAGTATCGATACCTGTACTCATTTATAATACTCTAAAAAAGAATCGATGCCAGTACTCATATTTGCAAAAAAGTATCGATAATACTCGTACATCCAAGTATTTTTAGGGCAAACGCGAAAAGTTCACAAAATCAGATTGCTTTGTTTACATACACATATGACCTCTTTCTTTATATAAATTGAATAGACATTGGCTTTTAATAGTTGAAGTCTGAATCATAAAAGGCTTATTTGAAGCTTTTAAAAGCAACTAAAGCCATTGTCTAATGAAAAGATAAGCTCCCTTTCACAAAAATTTTCTTCGAAAGCGGGCTGGATTTCTGATTTAAAACCAAGGTAGAAATCATTGGAAAACGAAGGCTCCGTTATTCTGGAGAATTGCCAAGTTATCGAGCGGAAGACCATCCTCCTAACCCATTCCTTACACCGGCACAAAAAAAAATGTTGTGTGCTTTTAACCAGATCTNAAGATAAGCTCCCTTTCACAAAAATTTTCTTCGAAAGCGGGCTGGATTTCTGATTTAAAACCAAGGTAGAAATCATTGGAAAACGAAGGCTCCGTTATTCTGGAGAATTGCCAAGTTATCGAGCGGAAGACCATCCTCCTAACCCATTCCTTACACCGGCACAAAAAAAAATGTTGTGTGCTTTTAACCAGATCTACTTGCCGCCACCTATTTCGACCCACTGAATCCAAATCTGAGGTCCGTTTGACTCGTTTTTGTAATTTTATTTTCACAATTTTCGCAATTAACTCAAAATTTAGGAGGTGTAAGAGTCAAATGGACCTCAATACATGTCGATATGTGGGTCTGGTTAAAAGCAGATACCACTTTTTTTGTGTGGGCCAGTGTTATCGAAAGTATGGCAAGAGATTCGTTTTCCAATTATTTAAGATGTTTCAACCGAGCCAAATGTCCACATGACTGGTACCTCTTCTTCTATGTTGTATATAAATTTCAAAGCGATTACCAGTAGCTCACCAGAACAAAATATATATTAATTTTTCGGTTTTTTGAGTTATGACTGTATTGAAGTATATGAACGTTATGCCTATGGGGTAATTTTTAAACATTTATCAATGTTATTGAAAAAAAATAATTTTACCTAAACAAGTTTTTAAAACGTCGATACTTTTTGGTATTCGCGATATTTACTCAGTACTTGTCAAAAAGTATCGAGTCCTCGATACTACTCAGTATTCATGAGTATCGATATTCTGTACTCGGTACTCGTATCGTTCTATCACTAGCGTTCAGTTGGTCGCAAATTTTAAAAGGAGGGGTAGTTCTTGCGCAGATAATTTTTCGTTAGAAATTTGCTTGGAAAAAAGGACAATCATGCGCAAAATCACCTTTTTATATGACGGTTTTCTACCGACTGATCCTAGTAGCAGCGCTCGGCTCTCTTAAGCTGATGCCAGATAAAACTTTGTAGCTTTGCGTGACATTTATAACTTTGCCAGCAAAGCGCCAGACGCAAAAGGTATGCCACAATGAACGCCAAGAAAACAATGTTGTACCGCTTTTTTACTCATCAAAGTTGCTGTGGATTTTAATTATTTTGATTTAAAATTATCAGCAATGTAATTAAGTTTTATGTTTCTGCATGAAAACCCGAATTTGGACGAAACAAAATAAATATTAAACCGGCTGATTGTCAAAGCGCGCAAAAAGATGGGAGTTGACCATCTTTTCGCTTCGCGCTGCCGCTTCAACGATTTATGTGGCATGCTTTGTGCATTTTCATACAATTCATCTTATCTGTCAAAGCGAATCTGTCACGTAAAGCGAAGCAAAAGTTTTATGTGACATCAGCTTTATTTACGAACACATGCGCAAGCATGATTCAATCATGAATCATGAATCATTGAATCATGATGCGCGAGCAAGATCGTTAACACGTTATTGTTCGCCAGTATGAATTAGCACATATTATTTTTTACATATGTATAATCAATTTAAACTTTATTGATTTATTAATAAAAAAAAATTAAATTGGTCGGCATTTCACGATGTTGAATTATTTTTAATAAATAGACTACAAATATAGTTAGAAATTGTTCCTCTATAAACAAAGAGGTGAATATAATAGCCTTTGGCAATATACATTGCATAAACCCTTCCGGTTTTAAATTTTTACCCCGCATCAAGCACTTGCTTGCCCGCGCTGCTGCGCGCGAGCTGTTCTGCCTCCCATCCCTACTCTAAAGAAAAGTAAACAAATTTATAAACGTGTTCCTCATCGTTAAATAATGAAATTAATAAAATATGAAATATACAAACGTTCAAAGAGCTTAATTTAGTTGGAATGTGTGTTTTCTGCACACTTGTATTTGTTTGAAATGGTTTGTTATCGTACATTTTGTTGGGTGAAATTTTCAACTTTAACAACAAATTACTCGTAAACTACGAGTTTTCAGTTTTGTGATGTGTAGGACCCATCTACCCTCCCAAAAAAGTCATTTTGTTCAAAGCGTGGTGCACTTTGGCGAAGTTACGATTCTTCATTACGAACGGATTCAGTGAAGGCTCTACGAATTTCGAATTTACGTTCGTAGTCATTCGGATTCTGTGACATATGTATATACCAGGGTTATTGCGAATATTCGCATTCGCAACCGCGGAACTTCCGCATAAATTTTAACATTCGCATTCGCAATAATTAATGCGGAGCGAATGTTGTGCAAGTGCACCGATAAAACGTACATATATCTGGCAAACAAAATGACAAATTGTAGCCAATATTTTTTGCCTGTAGCCGTGTTACCCGGGCGCCGCGCATGGGAGTATTTGTGTAACAAAACTGGTCAAATGTCATATTTGTCAACTTTAACATATATCTATATGTCTTTAAACATAATAGCTTTGATCCAGTACTCCATGAACTTACAGGATTTTAAACGAACTTGCAGGAAGTTGCAGGAAAAATGTTCCCGTACTCTCCAAAAGTCGCTCTCATTTACAGGATTTTGGAGTACGGAAACAGTTTTCCTGTAACTTCCTGCAAGTTCGTTTAAAATCCTGTACTGGATCAAAGCTTATATAACCGAGCTATTAATAAGTAGTCATAGAAGTTCCCACTTCTACTTGACCCGTACGTCAAAGAGAACTTACTTAGACCTTTTAATAATATTTTTTTTTGTTTTCTGTGCTTTAAATACCTGCATTGGTTTCATTATTTAATATGATTTTTTTGGACCAATATTAAAAAAAAACTACTAGACATAAAATAAGAAAGTAAGCACTGTTATTTTAAACCAAATTATTTACTTTTTATGTTACATATATTCAATCATTTCAATTGGGGCTCTTTGGGGAATTTATTTTTAGCAAACATTTCAAAAGCAGTCATTTGGTTTACTTTTCAGGCAATATTTTTTTCATTGGGATATACATTGGATCCTTGGCTAAAAACTTCTGTGGTAAAACTAACCCCCGAAGTCTCCCTTCTTTGCTATTTAAAGTCAAAGAGTAAGCCCCTTCAATAGGGATTTCTAGCAGAAATTGTCAACGTCTGGCTGTAAAGAGAATCGATGCTCAAATAATTAAAAAGCTATAGGTCTGACCTTTAATTAGGTAATAATTACTTAACTATCTGAGACCCTCATCATCCGTGATTCCAATAATTCAAATGCTTATAAAAAACGGGGTGGTTTTTAAAAAAATAAGAATATTCTGATCCGATTCGGCTGGCAGACACTACTTTGGAAACAGAATTTCGTTAAAAATTTTCATACCTGGAAAATAATAATTAATTTTCCATATCCACCTGGGTATTTAGCTCGCTATAAGAACAAATTTTTCAAACCAGTCGCAGAAGAAAGTATTAAAAATTAATTACAAAAACTAAAAACTTAAATCGAAAAACGCTGATAACGTTACAGGCTCCCCAACAGCCAAAGGAATGAGAATGAAGAATCATTTTTAAAAAGTTTTAGAAAAACCTGACACATCTGGTTTCGCTTGTTAGCGGTGTTTAAACAGAGATCTCGCCATTATGCTAGATTCTTCAAGTGAAGATGAAAGCCAGGAGGATACATCCGACATTTCAGCCCCCATTTTATTATTAACCAAAATAACNGGGGAATTTATTTTTAGCAAACATTTCAAAAGCAGTCATTTGGTTTACTTTTCAGGCAATATTTTTTTCATTGGGATATACATTGGATCCTTGGCTAAAAACTTCTGTGGTAAAACTAACCCCCGAAGTCTCCCTTCTTTGCTATTTAAAGTCAAAGAGTAAGCCCCTTCAATAGGGATTTCTAGCAGAAATTGTCAACGTCTGGCTGTAAAGAGAATCGATGCTCAAATAATTAAAAAGCTATAGGTCTGACCTTTAATTAGGTAATAATTACTTAACTATCTGAGACCCTCATCATCCGTGATTCCAATAATTCAAATGCTTATAAAAAACGGGGTGGTTTTTAAAAAAATAAGAATATTCTGATCCGATTCGGCTGGCAGACACTACTTTGGAAACAGAATTTCGTTAAAAATTTTCATACCTGGAAAATAATAATTAATTTTCCATATCCACCTGGGTATTTAGCTCGCTATAAGAACAAATTTTTCAAACCAGTCGCAGAAGAAAGTATTAAAAATTAATTACAAAAACTAAAAACTTAAATCGAAAAACGCTGATAACGTTACAGGCTCCCCAACAGCCAAAGGAATGAGAATGAAGAATCATTTTTAAAAAGTTTTAGAAAAACCTGACACATCTGGTTTCGCTTGTTAGCGGTGTTTAAACAGAGATCTCGCCATTATGCTAGATTCTTCAAGTGAAGATGAAAGCCAGGAGGATACATCCGACATTTCAGCCCCCATTTTATTATTAACCAAAATAACTTAATTTATGGGTCGATTACGGATGGCAACACAACCACGCTTCGGTTGTCAGCTGGCAATGCAACTGGAAAGAAAATTTGTATTACGAATGGCAACTATCCTCAGTTGCTGTAGTTATCGATAATCGAAATTTGACAGTTCAACAACCAGCAAGCGGCTGCAAACAAGCTGTGCGAGTAAAATTAAATTATTAAAATAAAGACTTTTAAAGAAAAGACAGCAATAAAGCTAAATTTATCACAATTATTTGTTTAGGAGGAAGAGAAATGCATGAACGCGTCCTCAATCAGGCGACACTTAAAGGATAATTCCAATCCTCTAGAGCTACCGCGTGTACTGTAAGCAAAAGTTAATGGTTTCTTTTGTTATCGTTTTGTGTTCATTTTCAAAGCATATTGAGGACTTCCAAAAGAAGCTGTAGTATAATTGGTTAATAAACAGATGAACCACTTCGTTCAATTTCAATACCTCCGCTCATAAAAGCTTGCGCACATCTTCGATTTTTCGCAGAAGGAACTGCCACAGCAATGACTTTAATTTGGAAAACTGGGTGTGTCGGTAGTTTTAAAAAAGGTGCTTCAATTGATAAAGGAAAAAAATTGCAATCAGTGTTCGCTTTTTTTTCGCCAAAAGGGCGTTGTCCACGGGAACTAAAATTTCAAGATATTGGTTTGTTATTTTCACCATATTCTGTAAAAGCAAACTGCATTGCAAAATGTTAATATCGTTCAAATTATTAAATATATGACACACTTTTCAATTTTCGCTCCTAAATACGCTCCAAAAACATTCCCAGCAACCACTAAAATGTAGTCGCCTGTATACACATTATGTAGCAACTGCAGTTGTCAGTTGAAAGTTGCCAGTTGCCATCTGTAATATCGTTTTGGCAACTAGCAACGCAACTGAAGTTCGATTGCTATCGATAATCTACCCATTACTTACCCAATTGTTTCTTAAAAATACTTGAAATCCGCATTCGCATCCGCGGATGTTAGCTGTTAGACATCCGCATTCGCATCCGCGGATGTCTAAAATTCCACATTCGCAACATCCCTAGTATATATAAGCAGTTTGAAAAAAAAACAAAATTGCACCCTGGACGTCGTAATAGGATCAAAAGTTCGTTAAATTTGTTAAAAAAAGTAAAGTAATAATTAACTTCTTTCTTATCCTATTACGGTGCAATTTTTTTCGAAGCAGCATATTAAATATATACATATGTTACCGGCCAAACCCGATCTTCGGACAAACTAGTTTTTCCTATGCTAAACTATTTAGTTCTACCTAGATCTAATATATCCGTCCAAAGCGGAAACAAGTTGGACGCAACAATATTGTGGACTGCGTACCTGGAGTAGGACTGATGAGGGTTATTTTTTTGTTGTGCGGCCGAAAGCCGCCTACGCGGAAAGGTGTTCTGCGCAAAAATACTGTCGCAAAACTAGTTTTTCCTAAGGTCGGGTTTTGCCGGTAACATATATATTGCGGCCTTGTTGCTTTCTTGATGATATGTTGCTGATGCTAAACTGCAAATCTTCTGAAATGCTGGAGAAATTGCGCAGTAAAAATTTTTATGTTGCTTTTGATTTGCCAATGATGAGCAACTGATTGTTTGTTCCTCGAACGATTGATGTAAGCAGAGTCGCCCAAATTTTCGCGTAGAACGTGATGCTGTTTCATAAAAAGTAAATTGCCGCATTAATTGCAGCTCAAATACACCCTATATGTACATACTTATATATGTACTTGGCTCTACATCGTTACCTTAATTAACAAGGCCCTAACCAACAAATTTTTATTTTACAGAAAAAAAAAACTTAAAGAAATAATATCAAAAACAGGCAGGGTAACTCCGTTGTTTTTGGTACTACCACTTTAAAGTTTTTATTAAAGATGTATTTTAATATATCCAACCTAAATCTCGGAAAACCTCAGTTTCGGAAAAAGTGTTAGTTGGGCCTCTGTGAATTTCTAAAAATGGACTTAGCAAACTTTCACCCTAAGCTTGCGATTTACTGATTTTGTAAGAAATATTTTTTACAAATATGCCAGGCCAATATAAAGCGAAATTGTAAGTTTAACAGACTATCTAAAGACCTTCCGCATAGTATCGATAGTGTCGACTATCGATAGTTTCAGACTACTAATTACAGTACAGATATATCAATAAACACGTACGACAGAAAAGGAACACATACGTTTATAAATAAACATGTATTTACTTCATTCAATATCAGTTATTTAAATTTATTCAATATCAGATATTTTATCATTCAATATCAGTTATTTTACTTCATTCAATACCAGGTATTTACCTTTTTCACTTATCTTCACGAAACTATCCATATTTTTCACTTATCAAAACACCCGCTGAAACAGGAGAGTGCTGGTAAATGTACGCTGCCGCAATATCTTTTATTAAAAGGTGATTTATCAAATGTGCATGCAAAGTGACAACAAACGATAAAACAATAATGTAAGAAACACCAAAACTATCAAAAACTATCGATGATGGTACGATAGTCAAAAACCCATCGATAGTTTAAACTATCGAATTCAGACCACTAAGAGCCAATTTCACAATGCGTAGTTAACTCAGAATCGGCATTTAACTACAGATTTTTGTACTGAAAATCTCTAGTTACTAACTGCCGATTCTGAGTTAACTACGCACTGTGAAATTGGCCCTAACTGTAATGTTTTCGAAGGTACTAGCTCTTACTGCCAATATAGGAGTATTACATATATGGATTTATCTCCAATTAATGCAAATATTTTTTTCTTCATAATTATATTCTCTAACTAGAAAACTACTCTTATAGCCGTTTTCGCATTTGCGTTGAATTTGCACGATCCACAAGCAGTTAATTTTCGGTTATGATTTTGGAACTGTGCCTCTTTTTAAAATAGTGTGCGATATGTATTTATGTATATACATAAATAAATTTATATAACAAACGAAGCAGTCAATAGTAGATTTTATATTGTTTATTTGGAAAATCTAAACAAAAGTTGAACAAATTGATGCTAACCTAGAGCAAAAGGTTTGGAAATAATATTGAAATGTTTAAATATCTGCTTTGCATTACTTTGCATTACCCTTTAGAATTAAAAAAATACATACTACCATCAATGCTTGATGATTTATGATAGCGATGTGCTTTTTGAAATTTCACCGTCTCCCTCAGTTTACTTTGCCCGATGTTTTTTTGATCAATTTTATCATTATAGCATGTGTTAATCATCGTTTAGACTTGAATTTACGCTTTTATTGACTGATTTGTTGACTATTGTTTTGTAAGGATGTCAAAACACGTATTCAACTTTAACTTGATACGGGGTAGGTAGTGGGCTTAATCAATATACTGCGCTAACCAACGGAAGCCTTCTCCATATCCTTGTCGCTTCAGGACCGAAGACATGAACAACTCCAGGGGACGGCCCGGTAACTCAGAACGGGACACTTTGCCCTAAAATCAAATATAACCGAATTGTGTAATTTTGAAATAAACATGGTTACCAAAAAATGTTACAATTACCTTTCCGGTTGTCAATTGGTAGAGGCCGAAAACATTTCTAAGCTCGTCTTCGCTTGCCGCTCCTGGCTTATCGATTTTGTTACCCAAAATTAGCACAGGACAGTTTGACAGCGCTTCATCTGTTAACAGTGAATCCAACTCGATTTTACTCTCTTGGAAGCGACCACGGTCCCAAGCGTCTATCAAAAACACAATAGCGTCCACAGCTGGAAAATAATCTTTCCATACGCGCCGAGCTGAATAAAAATTTTTATTAGAATACAAAGTTTACAACAAGTTGAGTAGACACGCTGGACGTGTTTCATCTTGGCATCCAGCATTAAAATAATTTCAAAATTAGGAGTAAACAGGTAAATGATTGAAAACAATTTTTCTCATAGCGGGGAAGTACGTCAATGGTCGAATGGTGGAATAACACGAAAGCTAACGCCTAGTAAATCCTGTACCGATTTTTAATTTATTTTTTTAAGCCTTATATTATATGTGCTGTTGTTCCTAAGACATAACATCGACCGAATAGGTTATTAGTTATAATTCTTTGATAATTTTCACTCGCGATTATTACATTGATTACACCGGCACACAAAACAAGTTCGAGTGCGAAGACTGCCACATATAGGTTCTCTTCCTTGTGTGGTATATAAAGACCTCTAGGTAGGCCCACATCGGCATTGGTTCTTTACCCCGTTTTGCAGGCATGGAGGGGGTGTGGTTTGAGAAATTGATGTGAATTCAATGTTTTTTTTTTACTTAAATTGAAATTTTGCTTATTGATTCAGATTGAGTGACTTTTCATTCATGAATATTGACTACTTATATTTGAAAAATTTTAAACGACTGATCCAAAATGGCGGATCAAAAATGGGGGATGTTAAAGAACCAATCCCGAGGTGGGACCACCTAGAGATATTTAGATATCCCTACCATGTGGCAGTCTTCGTACTCGAACTTTTTTGATGTGCCGGTGTTATTTAACGCTTTTGTAAAAAAATTTTTGGAGTAAAAATCTCGAGGAAAGATATCCTACAAATCTGTGATGTTACTATAAGGATGCTGATTCAGGGCTAATACATACATCTAAAAGCATAGACTGACGGCAACGTTGATCCGGATTAACGCCGCAATTGATCTGATCAAAATTGTACCTTGACAGACGGCAGTAATGCGGATTAACGAGCCGCGAGATCGAATCCCACAGCCAGTAGAATATTCATTTGATTTTTTTTTATTGATTCAATTATAACTTCTATATTTTTTTAAGTTGTTTTAGTTACTGTTTTGGACTAAAACAAATAATAAAAAGAAAATTTTTTTGGCAATCGCTCCAACCGAGGATCGAACCTGGTACCTACAGGCTTGTAGTACGCAGCTCTCCCCACTCGGCTACCGCGGATGAAGGAATCGGTTGCTTTATTTGGTCAGTTAGCGTAGAAAAATTAGCTTACAACAAGGAAAATAAAAGATTCTTAAAACAAAGCCGAGTTAAGGAAAAATCAATACATCAATTATTTAACGTAGTAATATCAATTAGCGTACGAGTGACTGGCCCATTCAATGCATATTTGGACATAAAATTTTCAATGGCAAACATATTATGCCGACGCAGATTCTTAGGTGGCACATGACATTTGAAAGACTCTAAGAGTATGGGGCAATCGATGTAGCCATTGACAATATCATAAATAAAAGTAATTGCCGATATAACTCTTCTACTCTGCAATGTGTGTAAATTAATTTGCACCTGGAAGCATGGCAAGTCGAATTTAAGATCAGATAGCCAATATTTCAGAAAATTTTTTTGAACGAGTTCAATTCTTTTATTTTGTCGTAATAGGGACTCCATATTATAGAGCCATATTCAGGCCTAGATCTTACCAAAGAGTTGTACAATAGTTTTCTAGTATATAGGTCCTTAAACTTCGAGCTATTCCGTTTAATAAAGGCTAGCATCGAAAAGGCTTTGGGAATTACAAAATTGAGATGTTCAGTAAACGTGAAAGATGCATCAAAAACAATACCCAAATTACGAATTTTGTCAACCCTAGCTAACGGCGTATCAGAAACTTAATAACTCGAAATCAAGTTATTAATGAGCTTAGAGTAGGTAATAGTGTAGCATTTATTAGCATTGAGTGTCAATTTATTCCTGTGGCACCAATCACTAAAACAGTTGAGTTCTTATTGAAGCATGCGCGAATCAGATGTATTTTTAACCTTCAAAAAGATCTTTAAATCATCTGCATATAAAATATACCTACATTGGCTAAAACTAACACTTACA